TGAACCTGAATCAAAGTATTGTGATTTAGCTATATTAAATATTAGCTTCGATGTCAGTTCTGAATCAAAAAAGATAGCTGTTTTTCCTCCTCAGACCTACCAAAGAAACCAAAGTGTACACACATCTCTAAGTATTAGATGATTTAAGAAAAGTCACGAGACATTAAAATCAATCCAATACAAAGATCTGTTCTCCTCTTAAAAGTTATTTACCCAAGCCCTCTCTATCACATGGCTTTAGTTAAATGCACCAGAATCAAAGACTGAAAACCTGTGTGCGTTCTTCGGTGTCGCTGAAGCTCATCGCTGCGAGTGAACCTTTTGCCACAGAACATCCAATTACAAACAAATGGACGCTCTCCAGAATGCCAGCGGAGATGAGCTCTCAAATGTGAAGTTTTCCCATATACTTTGCCACACCCTGGTATGTGACAAATGTGTTGCTTCTTTTTTCCCAAGTTGGAGCCTCTGTTAAAAAAAAAAAAAAAAAAAAGAGTTGTTACTAATTCTAATTCATTGCTCTTAAATACTGGTCATACATATAAGTGGGATTACATATACCAATAGATCTGCAAACAAACCTGAGCAGCTTCCCATTTTTGTTTCAAATACAATCAGAGTCCAGTACACTCCATAAGAAGCTGGAACTAAATTCTATAATGCTATGCCGATTCTGCAACAAACTATAAATTCAACAGCATGTGAAATTTAACTGATAGAAGTGTAATCTTTAGCAAGCACACATGTACATGAAGCTGGAAATACAATTACAGCAGTTTGTGCTACTTTGATGCTGAAGTGCCCATATTTTAAATTTCTCTCAGTTTCAGTTTTTACCATACCAAATACAGTTTTGGCAAAGAAAAAACACAAATGACTGCAATTGCCAAAAGAGAAACTGGACATTTTGGCAACTGGGAAGAAAACAGATGGGCCTTTCGGCATCTTGGGGAAACCTGAGAAGCAGTTTAGGGCTGGAGGATAAGCATACTAACCTGAATATTTCCACTAAAAGGAGTGGCAGTGAAACAGTTGATCTTGATGACATTTAAATTAATTCCTTGGTATTTCAGAAAAATAAATTCCATCAAAACGAACACATAATTCACAGATAGTATAATCCAAACTGCTGAGCTTGATGCCTATTTTAAGATGCTGCCTCACTGAAATGGTAGGTGACTGATTCAAGGGAAGCACCTAACACAAAAGCCTAACTTCTTTTTCTTTTTTTTTTTTTAATAAAATCACCAGAGAGAGATAAGAGCCTCTGAAGACCCAGAGAAAGAGGTCAGTCTGGCCAGTGCAGGGCATCATGATTGATTTTAGCCAATTTACGTGTTTGCTGCTGCTGAAAAGGGCACTCCAGGGAACAGATCTGGCTGACAACGTAGCTATATGAATGGTAAATGCTGGTACAAGGGAGGAGATTGGAAAATGCAGTCAAGCATCAGGCCGCCTTATTCATTAGCAATGTTAACTTAGAATAGCTTAAGTGGATTCCAAAATCACAGTCTTGGGCACTCCATCCTCCATGACTGATTGTACAATTTTCAGTTGCCTCCCTAGGGCAATTTTTTTCCTTAAATTGGGTGCTCAACTTCTGCTTAACCGTCCAGTGGCTGAAGGATTTCCCAAGCAACTATTAGACCTAGATTCTCATCCCTGCATTCAGAACAATTCTGGTTTACATCTAATGAGGCTTCAGGGTAAAATGCACATACACTTTAAGGAGATAGCACTTAGAGCAAGTACTTCTGAACAGGCACAGAAATTGACTCACTCTAAAAAACTCACAGCATCTAAAGGGAATTCCAACCTAAACACATATGCACCTAAAACATTCCAGAGAGTCCAGAAAAGTGAGGAGATAAAATCCAATTAAGTCCTAGAAAACGTTTCTAAGAAGTCTCAATATAGAGCAATCTTCATAGTGCTTCATTCGTCATTTTGTCTCAGAAGAAAAAACTACCACACTTACATACTAATTCTTTGTCATGACAAATGTAGGTTTTGACTTCAGAACAAATTCAATGGCCATAGAGGTAGAGAGTCCAGGCAGCTTTTGACCCTGCTCCGGTAGCAATACACTCATATGAGCCTATGGATATGGTGACAGAAGAGATTCTGGTTATCTATCTAATATTTTTGGTTTTATTGCCACCCCTCAATCCTTAGCCTCACAGAAAGTTCACCTGTCTGTTTTATCCAGCTTGTTTATAAATTTCAAACAAAAAATTCTCTGACAACTGACCTGATACCTTAAGCTCTCCCATTATTATTAGTCTTGGCAACAACACTTGTAACTTAATTTTCCTTTTTCAAATGTCCCAAAACAGATCAATTCTTCGGACCAGGACAAACATTGCCTTTTTTACAGCTCCCACCTCAGCTGAAATGTCCATTTTTAGTAACCTTTGCTACATCTAAACTGTCAGGTTCACACTCTTCCATGGTCTTCCCTCAAACCAAGATTAAAAAGCAAAATTAACTGTAATGTCAGGCATTTAACTGTGTACTATGCCACCTACACAAAAGGTCAATATTCAGAAGTTTTGAACAGTCAGTCAATCTCAAAGGCATTTAGCAAAATGTCTTTAGACTGACCTCTTTCTTTTCTAGTTCCTCAGCCTCTGCAGACGGCTAGGCCACCACACGAAACTCACTGTACCAGTAACAGTTTCAGTGGCATTCATCTATTTGCCCAAAACATCCAGTTCCCCGGACCCCAAGGAAGACATTTTCTGTATTCCCTCTTTTGCCTTACTGTAACCAGTTCCACAGTTCTCAGGCTCTACGTTCACCTTCATCTCATGATTCAGTTCTAGACAGCGCTTCTTCAGGTCCTCTTCTTTCATGGCGCAAGGCATCCAGCAATTGCGGTGCAAGGCAAAGGAACACCCATGGCTCTTCTTCATTACACAGTCTTGGTAACTGAAAGAACTCTCCACAGGATCCTGTTATCCCGTGTCTTTAACTGCCTGTCCAACTCCATGTAACCCTAAGATGTGCTCGGCCTATGCTTATTGCAACAAAATGTATTTCTGCATTTGAGAATATATTTCTGTATACAGAATAATTTTTTGTATTTGGTATCTCATCCTCACACCTTCTCCAAATATACTACAGTCTTCCCCTCTGCAATAATCTGTACAAGTATTTTGTAACCTTGTATGATACAGTATATAAACATGACACAAATGACATGAAATCACATCACAATTCCCTTAGAGTAATTTGAAGATCACAGAATGGCTGGGGTTGGAAGGGACCTCTGGAGATCACCTAGTCCAACCCCCCTGCCAAAGCAGGTTCACTTGCAGCAGGTTGCACAGGATCTCATCCAGGCAGGTTCTGAATATCTCCAGAGAAGGAGACTCCACAGCCCCTCTGGGCAGCCTGTGCCAGTGCTCTGCAACCCTCAAAGTATAGAAGTTCTGCCTCATATTAAGATGAAGCTTTCTGAGTTTTAGTTTCTGCCCGTTGCCCCTTAACCTCTTGCTGGG